TATTGATACCGTGTAAAAAATGTCAACAATGACGAAAAACCGAAGCCCTATAGTGTACCCGACGGCGTGGACGTAAAAGAATCCTAGACAATTCATTTCGATAAAGCGCCGACAGAAACGGCACCGTTCGGGCAATATTTCTCTCGTAGCACAATAAATGACGTTAGGCATCATTTCATTCCTTAGACGAATGGGTGAATTTTCTAAAATTTCACTAGACATTAAACTAGACGATAATCTTTATAATGAATTTATATTTCCTTAATTAAGCTAGTATGTTAAGTCGAAGATCGGAGGTGTAAAGTGGGCCAAACTTTGTGACGCAACAATCGGCATGTTTTACCATATTCCACAATACGGATGTGAATCCCTAGCTACAATAATACATGCATCTTTGGCTTATGGCATCATCTTGAGAGGGTCAAAGACGGGTTGATAAATATCCAATTTGTTGGGAATTTGAGACAATTTACGATAAGAATCCCCCTCTGTCCGTCTTGATTTATCGACATAAAACGGAACAAACAGGGGGCGTTCATTTGTCATGATCATATGTCTCGTAGTGGTGGATGGGACGGCCGATCTGTATCAATTTGCATCGCATAAACCCATCAATCAAGTTGGACCAACAGATTGTTCGTTTGATCGTTTCTATTAGTCTATGTAGGGAAAGTGATTTAAAGCTTCAGTCTTGTCAGATTATGGCATTAGTCTTTCATTTTCATTACTTAAAAATAGATAAACATACTGCCTAGTAGATGCCTTATTACGTCAAAGTCTGACTCGACCATTATACGCACTTTTAGACCCTGTTTTCTGCTATCACCAATAGATTTTTAATGGTTAATTAACAATGAATTTATCTTTCAAAGATACGTTGAATAAAGTACGTTGAAAAGTTCATATAACAATATTTAATCAAGAGAAAAGTTCGCTAAATTCGCTATGGTTTTAATGGGTAAAATATTATTACGATAATGAAATAGAGTTTTATGGCACATCAGCTCCAACCGGGATATATTGCGCCAAACATATGATAAATTTAGAAAAGAAACCATTATTGCGACTGCACAAATACGTGCCAGGTCCAGATCAATATCAGCTCAAGTCAAAGGTCACAACTGGCCGGATATCAACCATCATTAAGAGAACTCATTAACCCTGGTTTAATATGTAAAGGGTCAAAGGTTACCTCCAGTTGCCATTAACAACCAGTAATGTCTTATAGGTGCTGAGCTTTACCATTACGGGCCCATTGCGGCTTAATGAGTATAGCAGTCTCATTAACCTGGAGATCCGGTTTCGATCCCCGTGTTGGCCTGGAAAGTTACTCGGGATTTTCTAGCCCGGAATCGCCCCTTGCCGTTTCAGTGTTGCAGGACGAAGTAGGCTTAGCCTAAACTCCGATATCCAGGCATTATGTTTTCCTCATATGGAATTTATTTGCTGTCCGGGCACAATTTCCCCTATGGTACAGTGTATGACCTATGACGTTCTTCATTATCCCGGAATGAGTGAATGAAATGAGTTTTAACGTCTCCCTTTTCTGAATCAAACCGACTAACGAACAGGGGTATACGTCATATATGAGGTAAAATTTGCCCGGACACTAAGTAAGTTCAAACTGTCAAAGGTTCTTTTACACGTGCGCCTATCTGTACACGGGACCTCGGTTTTCCGAGCACAAAAGTAGGGCTTTATATCCCAATACAATGCTTTGTTAACTCAAGACCTCGCCTTCACCCGGTTTTCATTAACCCGCGTTGGAGCAGAAAAGTAGGAAGTTAAACCCAATTTCATTCGTTGTTAACACAAGACACCAAGTAAATCGCCTCTAATACGAGAATCTATTACCAGCTTATTGCCTAGGTTTATTTGACTTGGTATAAGACATATATCCGTCATCGTGTCTCCCTCATACGGACTATTATCATTCTTCTCAACAGTTAGATAACACAGTGGGTGTCTGTCTGCTTTCCAAGAATCTCAATTCCTGGTAATTGGAGGTATTTAGAAATGTCTCCATCGCTAACAGAAACAACTTTGATGGAGTTGATGGTTTAATTTTATTCCAATAATAATGGGTCTTTAGCTGTTCGGGTTCGGGTTGGGGGGCGTACCCGGAGAAAACCCACGAAGTTGGACAGGCGATCCTACTCCACACCACTTGACCCAATGACAGATTTTATAATCTACCGCACACGCTGAAAACCACCTGACCTTCCAACCCTCCTCTCTGTGTAACAATGCCGTGATAGTCGGACGGTCATGAAACTGGACTGCCGGTTGAACCGTAGGATTTTACGCAAGACCGGCATCACTTGTAAGAGTGGGGATGAAACAGCGAGGTTTGACGGCAGATATACGTAAGGGTTCACGTAACAGAACTCGTCACAGTTATAATTCAATGACGAGCAGGATGTAACGCATGTGAACTAGAATAACACGCTAGTCTCAGAATGACTCAAGTATGGTGTTGACTAGTTTTTAAACTTCATTCCTATATTAATACTGCTCATCAGCTACTGATTGAAAGCTCTTTACCTGTCTTCATGTGTTGATTACAAACGAGCGTGTTTACAAAAAACAAGTACAAGCAGGACGTCATGGCGGCCATTTTAGAATTGCTACCTCATATAAAAGAAATCTAAACCTTATGCGTTATTTGAAGAGTGTCGTCTCAAGAACAACAACAACGACAAAAAGAAGAAGCTGATGATGACAATTACCAGGTGTACAAAAATCACTTTACAATTCAGTCAAGGTTATTCGATGACGTAATATCTTATAGACGACACTTACTTGTTAAAGCTATATTACCACCCTTGCCACAATAATAATAAAATACCATACTGAAAATAACCTTAGACTACGTGTTAAACTACTTGGAATAAAATTCTATTGAAAACGTCTGTATCTCAGCAATGATATGAAAGATGTGTCCGTTTTAAAAACACCACGGCAAATCTAAATTTATTTTTTAACCTACCGGGTTACCCATTGCCGGCCATCGCTTTCGTTGGCGACAAAGATATATTCACACATTTAAGTCGTTGGGGACTCCAGAAGCGATGTTATCAACATTGTTTAATTGTTGGGTGTACCGCGGGACTGATACTGCATAGAATAGAGAATTTTAGAGATGAATAGCTGGGTGTCCTCGTAAAACCATAGGTAGACTCAGGACTTAGGAATAACTGGACGGAAACATTATTTACCCAGACCTCACTATTAGTTAGAATCTTCACCAACCCAAAAATGTAGGCTTGACACTGGACTACCAGATGTCGTTTGACACTGAGCTGCCAGATGTCGTTTCGAATCGTTTCTCTCCACTTGTATATATCGTTTCTATTGTGGGTGGGTGGGGATGGGGGAGGTCTCATGCTTGCGCTTTAGATCATAAGGTCTTATCTAAGTCAAATGGCGTGGCTTCAATTCCCAGGTTGCCCTAGAGAAGGAGTAGGGTCAACTGTATAACCTCTTAACCCTTTTCCGGGTAGGCCCCCGCGCGGAAGCGAATTTTTGAAATAATAGAATTGTGCCATATGTTAGTCCCGAAATGACATAGTTCATGTCGAGTGGGCGTTCCTGTCCATACTTTTAAATCATAAATGTAAATGCCATCGTTGTTTATTTCGTGGCCGACAGGGATTGTCGGAAGTCGTTATTGTTGCAACGTATTTTGATTCTATTGTGGCAGAACGCTATTGTCAAATAATTGGTCGCCTTTACCTATCGCCAAGTTCCGTTGTTGATAAGACACGATGTGTATATAGAATGTCAGACATAGAGCCAATGAAGACTTTATTTCATTTGAAATCTTCTCTTAAATAATAATTAGTGAATTGACTCCGCGAGGAAATGGTTTCGCCAAATCAATAAATAAGACTTTATAACATCAGTATTTATTTCTCGTTTCGTGGTGGGGATTCTCCCGCGTCTTTTAAAAGTAATGAGTTCTTTAACTGGCATTTAGATGTTCAAAGTTGCGGAAATAGAACGTCGTGATGGGTGTCTGTGTGTATTTAACAAAATACTATGTCCTACTTTTGAAGAGGAGTCCACGGTGGCTCGGCAAGCAGGGTGCTGGCGCGGTGTTGGCCGATAAAGTTCCTTGGGATTTTCCAGCGTCAGCGTGTTTTCCTCTTGTAACTGATACCGGTTTGAGGACCCGATGCCGGTTTGAGGAACTGCCAAGACACCATACCTCGTCATTCGAGTTGCATGAAAAACAGAGATCTCGGAAATTAGGGCGGAAACGAAGCTGCACGGGCAATTTTTACCACATTAGCAGAAAAGTCGGGCGTTGAACCCCATTTCATTTAGTGTACAATTCGTTTAACTCCATTTCGTTGAAGGGATGTTAGAGGTTAGGTGGTCGAATGGTTCGCTTTACATCATACGGGCTGTCATTGAGGTAAATGCTGTGGTTTGGACCACAGACTTGCATGTGACAAGGAATAGGATCGCCTTCCTAAGCTGGCGGATTTCTACATACCACCACCCTCTACCGTCGGTCTTTACAAGTCATACGTTTGAACCCATGCATGTCTGTGTCAAGATGAATGGTTGCCGTTTACCTCTAACCTCTAGCGACCCCTACGTGCAAGCTAATTATTGAATAAAGCTATACCATATGGTAGACCTGAAATAACATAAATTGCTTTGGGTAGACTTGAACCAAACAATCTGCCTATCTCTGCCTATGACGTTCTGTGTCGGTGAAGACGTGCATAATTGCTTGATGTCAACATCGAGCAAAGTATTACATATGCAATTCTCTTTACATCATATTCAAAATTTAAATAGTTTTAGAAAAGAAATTGACAAAACGATGGATAAGTAATTTTGTATATTGTCTGAGTTTTGTAGATTTTGTGTGTATGTATATATTTGTATACTATTTTTATATTATGCATATTGTGTATATCAGGTATTTGTATATTATGTATATTCGGTATTTGTGTATATTCCAGGGGATCGAATACCACGTGACAAGAAGATAATACGTCATCGTCAAGCTACCATATCAACAACTGTATTCTATGTTAGCTGTGTTTTCTGTGCTTTTGGTGTTATAATGGCCGTCTGTTTTCTGGTCTTTAATCTCTACTATAGAAAACTAAGGTATTAAATTATATACAACTAGTATCACAAACTCCTCGCGGTAAATGTTACGCATTGTTAACGCAGATTGTTAAATATGCCTTATGTAGCAACTAAATCTGCCTATTGCATTTAGACATGTATTCACATGGTAAGCCTATTCAACTCACTAGACACTCTAGATCATGTTTCCTCTTGACACGTGTGTTTGAAGATGCGGTCTCTACTAGTGACAGAGAAAGTCGAAAATTGAAAATTAAAATTTGTAAACATAACCCACATTACACTTAAAGCGACATTAGATATGATTGGATAAAGGGCTGGCATTTCCCGCTATAATAGTTGCAAAATAAATAGATTATGCTCTTGCATAATGCACGTTTAAGTTAAAAATAAATTAGAATATACAATAGGTCAGAAAATAATTTTAAAAGAAAGACCACCCATTTAGATACTTTATTTTTGGATCCAATTTTACCCGGACAACGGCGCTATGGCCTATTCTTATATCGATTCCAGCTTTCAAGGTTTCTTTTACGTGCACGCCAACGCGTAAATGGGACCTCAGTTTTTCGTGCCACCCGAGCGACTATACGGTGTTCCCTGCTAGGCCCTACGTTCTGAACCATTGACAAGAGGGGACAACGCCGGAACTTTTTCGGCCAAGGAACATCCAGGTTAGCTAGCCAACGCCTTACTCACTTAGTCCGCACGGTTCCTCTGGGTTTCACAATTTACTATTATGTACATAAAAAGAAATTATATTTACCATTTATTTGTTTGTTTACAGGTATATAAAATTATCTAGTCCAATGTTAAATGATGTGGCTGTGATTGGTTGTATTTTGGTCTATACAGCGGTTATCGTTCTTGGTTTAGATGATGCTATTCTTCCTCGTCACGTCTTCCCGTTTATATGCACTGTAAGTATCAGGCCTAGTTGTTATAAAATCCATGAAATGAAATGGGGTTGAACGCCCTACTTTTCTGCACCAACTGGCCTAATGAAAAAGGGGATATGCCATGCAATGTGCGTTAGGGGGAAATTTTGATTAGACAGTTTTATTTCGATTTCCAAATAATGGACGTTTTGTCATTAATATACAATGAATCTCGATTTGTCGTCCCATCCCATCGACTGCAGCACTAACAAGAGGAAACAAGATAATTTCTCGGTTAGAATCATCAGGTTAGAGAGATAATGCTAGACTAACCGATACACGGTGGCTACATACCATATAAAAGGTGCTGTTAGAACATAAATTAGATTGTCTGCGATATCACCTCGGTGGAAGCGGACGTAAAATACAACTAACTAACACACACATATATTAGTGTTCATTTGAAAAAGCAAGAGGAGCAAAAGGTATTACATTTTATTAGACTGCACATGCGACTTTATAAAATACGTTACTAACTGTTCTTCTTTTTCAGATTCGAGTTCTGCTGTTTGCTGCAGGATTTTCACTGGCTTTTGGCGCAATGTTTGCTAAAACGTACCGTGTGCATCAAATCTTTACTCGCGCACACACGGGACTTGTCAAAAGCAAGGTAAGATATTCAAATTGCCCTATAAATTAATTTAGTAACTTACTGTGGACTCATTAAGAAATTGTTCTAAATGATTATATATTTTCTGCTTTATGATGGGGGATGGGCGGAATTGGGGTATATCTGTAACGGTAATGGTGGTGGATGGGGGGTGGGGGTGCATCATTAACAGTGTGTGTGTTTGGGGGGGATGTTTTTAGCAGTTTTGATGTTGAGTGAGGGATGGGGGGAGGGCATCTTTAAGAGTTTTAATGGCGAGTTAGGGATAGGGGCATATCTTTAAGAGTTGTGATAGTGAGTGAGGAATGGGAAATATGTTTAAGAGTTTTGATGAGTAAGGGATGGGGGCATTTCTTTAACAGTTTTGATTGGTGAGTGAGGGCTGGGGGCATATCTTGAACAGTTTTGATGGTGGGTGAGATATGGGGGCATGTCTTTAACAGTATCTCTTGTAGTTTTTAAGTGGTAAATATCCGAGGAGCTTAGTTTTAACAGTATTTTATCATGATTTACCATTTATCTTGTAGTTATTACGTGATAAACATCTGTTGTTTATGATTGGAACATTACTATTGATTGATTCCGCTATTGTGTTTGTGTGGGTGTTAGCTGATCCAATGGAACGACAGATAACAAATCTTACATCTGAGGTGGGTAGAAATTAATCATTTGACAACACTGAACCCTTACATTATTTGACAACATTGAATCCTTACTTACAAAGAAAACATAGAAAACAGAACAATATTAAATTTGGTGGATATCTTTATTTTCTGGCATTCAGAAGACCTGGTGTCAAGACATCAGAGGTAGACCAGGCAACGATCAAATAACTTTATACGGCTCATTCCGACTGTGGTCAGAACCAATTACGAAGTTGTTCAAGTCAATACCCCACGAAATGGTGTGACCTCGCAAGATTCTTGTATGACTAGTTACTGAACCACGGTATTATAAACATATTAGTTTCACAGTCATAGTGTGTAGTCGAACTGCCGAACCGCAATATGGTGGATATATTGGACACACAATCATATGACGTGCATTCGTGCGACTGAACCACAGTATACTGGACATATTGGGTACACAATCAGATGATATGTATTCGTGTGGCTGAACCGCAGTATGATAGACATATTAGTTTCACAATCATATAGAGTGTATTCTTGTGGCTGAACCGCAGTATGATAGACATATTAGATACACAATCAGACATAGTTTCAAAATCATAGCATGTGTATTCTGCGACTGAAACACAGGATGATGGACATATTAGATACACAATCATATGATGTGTATTCTTGCGGCTGAATCATCATCAATACACAAATACATAACCGAATGGGGCTTATTGTTTTCAGCATTGATTTTGAATTTTAGACAATGTAAAGGAAACATTCTTAAAATAGTTTAGCCTACGTCATCAGGAATACGGTCTCTGTTGAAAGGGAAAACAGTTTTTCGGGATGTCTATCGACTTAGAACAAATCCTTTGAATGATTTTTTAATTCTTTCAAATTCTCGCGAAGCATGCTAGAATGCTATCAAATGACAATTTCCGCTTCTCTTCCGCAAATCGATAAAAACAGCAAAAAGGTCTTGCTACAATTATCAATAAACATCTGAATATGTTGTATGCCAGATATCATTCTGCACACAGAAAAGAAATCTCTGCCTTGAATGGCCACCATATTGACCAATTAGTTTACTATTTTGTTACGCGGTTACAATTCGTTTTACTTCTTTCATACACACAAAAACTGAAATAAACATTTTCAACGTTAATAAATTCTCGAAGTAAACTTCGTGTTGTCGAATAAAATCATTGATTTAGGAATTAATATGTCCGTCAATTAGCTAACTGTAGTTTCTGGATTTTTGAGCATATTTCCACGTACATTGTATATTTAAAGAATTATCTATTTTGCGTGTCTCAAGTCTGTTGTGTACTGTCGAATAACACGAAGCCGAATAGCACGAATTTTGAAATCGTGTGACCGGGGTTTAAATGCATTATCATACGATATTAGATATTTAACACAGATGACAGTTCTAAACTTTAAAATGGGCACAGCGTGGTGTTTTTAAAATAAAACTAGAATTTGTCACAACTGGATATTTTGTATATATAATGATTGGTGGACCGGGACATCTGCCAGGGCTTACCAAATAACCAAATAGTTCAAACCCCACCCGACAACTCCTTAAAAAGCACTGCATCGTAAATGTTCGATAAACAGTTTACATTATTGAATAACTGGTTAGTTTGTAACGAAAACTTTCCAATATAAACTCAATAAATCTTTACTCACATGTACCAAGTTGACAAGAAAATTCTATAAATAGTTATAGTGGATGATTTAATGTTCTTGGGAGGAGATCAAATTTAATTAGTTTAAAGTGCTAATCCATGTTCCTGTCTCGTCCAATCGAACTTCTTGACTAACAGGTTGATTAAAGGGCGTATGGTTATATTTTTGGAACCTTGAAATAGACAAAAATGGTTCTAAAAGAACATATTAATGTAATATGAATGTATGTAACGTGATTTATATTTAATTTTTGAAAAAAATATTAATTTCTAATCAATTATGTTTGATGAAATACGTGAACAGTTCAAATTGAACTGCAGTCGTTTACACCTGCTTAGTGCATTCTACAAGTTTTTTTTGAATGATTATTTTGTCCTTTGTAAATTAGCCTTTATTAATTACTTCAACATTATGTTGTAGGATATGTTTTTATGTGTTCATTACAAAATGACACCCAAAACCATAGGGTGTACTTATTATAAAATGTTAATTGTGTCTTAAATATTGGATATTATGATTTTATAGTTTCACGGCAAGATAGCAACATCAGTATTGATTGAAATTGGTCAATATTGAATTCTAATTCGTGTTTTTAATTTCGAATATTATTTAAAATACTGAGTTACAGACTTGGCTCCTTTAAAGTTCATCTAAGCTTGAACTCTGCCCTGTCCCTTGATTTTACTCCCCCTTTCTTGTAATGCTTCGTTTAAGATGATTAATCTGAACTCTGTCCAATCTCCTGATTTTACCCCCACCCTTTTCTTATTCGGAACTCTGTCCGGCCCCTTGATCCCCCCCCCCCCCGGTGATTAATTGACTAATAAGTCTATTAAAGTTTATTTGAACTCTGTCCAGCCGCTTAATCCCCCGCCCCGTTCTTATCCTGCTTTTTTAAGAGATGATTAATTATGATGTAAGTTCTACGGTTTAAGATGAGTAAATATGATGTTAGTTTTGAGGTTTGAGATGGGTAATTATGATGTTAGTTTTACCGTTTAAGATGGGTAAATATGATGTTAGTTTTTAAAGTTTAAGATAGGTAATTATGATGTTAGTTTTAAGGTTTAAGATGAGTAAATTTGATATTAGTTGTAACGTTTAAGATTAATTACGATGTTAGTTTTAACATTAAAGATAGGTATTATAAATAACCCAAAATCGCTTTAGTTGGTGTGTGTGTGTGTGTGGGGGGGGGGGGATTTCTGAAATAAAGAATGCTAGTTTTTAAAATGAAATGGAGTTTTAAAGTCTTAAATTTCTGCATGATCCAGGTTAATGAAGGCAGGTGTATACTTATTCCTGTTGCCAAGGCTTATTATGCGTACAATCCAGTGTGTGCACTGGACCTCCATCTTTCGTCCCACCCGAAAACTAGATGATTAAACTTGCTACTCCCTCCGCACTTCTAACTGTAAACACGGAGTTTTTAAAGCATAAAAAATGAAATGATAGCCCGTGTCGCGGAGTAATTTAAGCATTATATCAAATGAAATGAAATGAACATAGTCTGTAATTTAAGCATTATGTACAATGAAATGAAATGAACATAACGCATGCCGCGGAGTAATTTAAGAGTTATATACAATGAAATGAAATGAACATAACGCATGCCGCAGCGTTATTTAAGCATTAAACAAAATGAAATGAAATGAACATACAGCATGTTGCCGAGTTATTTAAGCATTATATTAATTGAAATGCAATGAACATAACGCAGGCCTTGGAGTTATTTAAGCATTATATAAAATGACCCCCCCCCCCCCCAAAAAAAAAAGAGTTTAATATCGTACTTCTCTGCACTGACTGGGGTAATGGAGACCGGGCGCATTCTATACATTTTGACGTGACGTCATCGTATGACTAAATGAGATTAGAATAAGCATAGAATTTATCTATAATCCTCAATTGTCGCTATTCTTAGAACCATTGTTATTTTGAACATAGGATACAAATAAATCTCACAACCCGGCTTTTGTTTATTTGATAAATACTGAAAATAGCTTATCATAATACTTTCATTGATTATTATGTCTAAACGTTTCCAGACACAGCGGATGTACGAGGATTCGGAACAGTAACAATGAATTTGATTGATATCCAGATTTAAAAGTCTGATAATAAATTATTTTTGATATATTATTTGTTTCATCCGACCTGTCTTTATTTGTCCAAGTCAGTGCAGAAAAATAGGACGTTTAATCGGAATAATATTAAAGACGCAACAAGCCAGGTCAATCACTTATAACAGTATATGAGAAGAGGTTAGTTAGGACTTTATACTGCTAACTGAGCACAGATGGCTCGGTCCGGACGACATTGGCGATCCCGGTATTGGCCAAGAGAAACTTCCTCGGGATTTTCTATCGTGGCTTTTCCTTGTTAGTGGTGCAGGACAGAGAGTCGGGCGATAAATAGCGTCTGATTGTTCCAATATGATACAAAACGGCGGCTCCGTTAAGTCCGATTTCATTTCTTGCGGGCAAATCACGAAGGAGGAATAGTTGGTGAAATGTTGTTTATATTCTTTAGTAATTTACGACCTGCATGAATTAATTTAGATATTGATGCTCTATAAATTTCTCGACCACAGCGTTGTCCATAGCCTAAAATCACTGCAGGCCTATGGCTGCAGAACACGGAGGCTTACAACTAGCCCCTCAATCTATGTTATTGATTTGTTAGTACTTTGATGTTTATAGCTTACAATGTCAGTGTGTTGTGTTGTGAGGTGTTTCTTCCGCAGGTTTGTCTTCTGGGTTGTTATTTGGTTATTACCTCGTGCCATGCGCCTACACTTGTTATGTCAGATGAACTATTAATAGGGGATCTTCGCCGAATTAAATTGTCAGGTTAAAATATTTTAGATTTTAATAGATTAGTTTCAACTTGTCTGATTTGTCTGTTAAAATTTCTATAGTGACGACTCGCGATTCCTCCATTATTGATGATTCATCATCCAGATCGAAGTGATATTCACAAGATCGTGGACGTGACAGAGAAAATACGAAACTAACCCAGCTGTACTTAAACTGTCCCTATCATGCGCATGGACAGACGAGATATGAGACACAAGGAAATGAAATAATGGTCGGGTTCGTCTAATTTGTTGAAAAGGATTCCTCTAAGAGGACTAGACTCTCTTGTAGTTTGGACACTAGTTTCTAGTAATTAGAATAAACGTCTCATAGAAACGTGTATTTAAGATGTGTATGAGACGTGAAAGACTAAACTCTTAAAATCAGTAATAACCCTTCATTCCATTTACATGTAATAGCCAATTCACACTTGTTCACATTCAACAACCGTCTACAAAAACAGCTTAAAGTGCACCCGTCCTAATTCCCACAATTAAAATACTATAGCTTCGAATATTTCAAAACAAATAGAAACACCTTTGTATGATATTTCTAAATCATCTTTCCGTCATAAAACAAAAAATCGATAGGAAAGGAGCAAGATATTAAAACTTATAATGGGTGCATAATTTCGCACAAACTAAGGTTCCTGGAGTACAATATTATCATCTATGAATCCATGGTGGAAATAACCACATTCTTGTCTTAGACAATCCCCAGTTATCAGAAAATATTGTACGTTGAAATATGATTATTGATTTGTCTATAAAGCATAATATTTCCGGTCCGGATCCAAGTCTTCTAAATGTAAGTGACGGGTGCGTCGCCGTTAGCAGAGTATACTTAGTTTTCCCGGGACACCTGATACCACCTTCTTCACCAATTGGGCTAATGAGGATGTATATACGTCGTGCAGTGTGCTATGAGGTAAAGTTTGCCCCTACAGTGGCGTTTCCGCTTACTCTTCATAGAATTCCAACTGTGTTATCTGAAACAATCCCGATATTCACCGTACATGGACAGATGGACAGATTCTAAAGCTTAGACACTACAGATAACAGAACATCAGCATAATGGTAGAAACTTTATAACGAACATGAAATAAAGATACATCGGAATGAACTGTTTAACTGTCAGAAAACGTGTTGTTATATACCTTCCAACAAGAGGGAAACTAGGCACTAACATCTAATAAGGAGTTGGGTTTCGTGTGATATTAGCTGACCAGCATGAATTCCATTTAAGAAACGGTCATGATGCTATCTTTTTTCCCATATCATAATACACGTCATATGTACATTGTCAATAACATGTGGGATTTATTAAGTATGTAGCCTATATCGTATATTATAATCAATAACATGTGAGATTCATTGCATCGAAAATGTTACTATATAAATATATAAAATGAAACCTAAATTTTACAAAAGTTATGGAACACTTTGTCACAATTGGCGTATATTATCAATGACATGTGAGGTTCATTGCATCTAAAAAAATGTTACTATATTATGTATAAAATATAGTCTAAATTTGATAAAAGTTATGGAGCATTTTGTCACAATTGGCGTAAATAAAAAGAAACTGTTATGGTCTATCCGCAAAGAAATGTTGACAAATGTTGACTGATTCTGTGGGAACTGTTTTTACTGGCATCCTAATCCGTTGCCTGACATGCACAATCACGTAAAACAACAACAGTTAATGTATTTATCTGAGACTAGAATACTCTGACAATCCACCTCCGCTCCTCTAACGACTTTCATCGCTTCACAAAGCTTGAGAAATAATCTGTTTGTTTCCCGTCTCTACATATTTCAATCAAAGCAGAGACAAAAAAATCAAATCCATCTATAAAGCAATTAAGAAGTGAAAATAATTTATAATTGTCAATGTGAACTGTCTGATCTACTCAACAGAGCAAAAGAGAATTTTATTTTCATTAACTACTAAACTATGTCGGAAAGGAAATGCGGATGATGAATTGTTATATACGGATTTTTGTCTCGAATAAGTTATTCGTTCAAGCCAGGTCTCAGCTTAATTTAGCGGGGTTGATTGGCCGAACGCGTGCACTTTAGATCAGAAGGTCTTGTCATTGATTCAAGTTGCGTGGTAGGAGTATGATCGCCTGTCCAATCTCGTGGGTTTTCACCAGGTTCTTCGATTTCCTCCCACTGCTAAAAACCAAGACGCGCATGCGAATTATTGAAATAAAACTGAACCATATTTTTGTTCCAAAATTACCAATTTTGTCTCGAGTAGACGTTAAACCCCCGTTTTTCTTTGTGGGTCTCCTCTTGCCTTGATGAAGCCTCTCAAGCTGCTTGGGTGTACGAAAAAGAGCGTTGTCCCGCCCTCGCACGGGTTGCCATAGAAATTAAAGACAAAAGAAAGACCTACAGGACTGGAAGTCTTGTATAGTCGACCAATAGTGTACGCAAAAGATCGCTTGGCGGAAATGTTAAAGCCCAGGCAAAGTTTTCACCCGTAACCATAGACAACCGTATACGAGTCTCAGGAAGACCTGCTAGAGGCTAATAGGGAAGTATGTCTTCCAGCAGTTCACGGATAAGAAAGCTTGACAGAACTGTTACTATCCCAGTCACATTTTGCTCCCTGGCAGTGCTAACACGAAGACTGTCGACTGTTATGTTTTCTTCTTTCTCCCGTGGGTTAGCTCTGTATGAGATAATATAACTCTAGAAAGAAATTGGAGGGTTCTATAAAGAACAGCATCAATTAATGTTACCATTTAAAACCACCAATATACACATCTGTAGGCAAATTGTAACCTTTAAAGAGACACTGTCACTTCTGCGATGGGATTATTTTTGACCAATATTCACAAAAATCACTGAGGTAGATAACTATCGAAATTCCAGACTCTGGTTTACTTTGGGTAAGACTATGTTCGTGGCAGGAAAAACGCCTTGCCATTCGGATGGAACGGAAAACTGAGGTTCATCCGTCTACGTGTTAGCATGCTCTTCAATGAACATTTGACATGTTGCATTCGGTTAATAGTAAACGGAAACGCCAGCCCCGGGCAAAATGCCCCGTATAGCACATTGCATGACGTATATGCAAATAAGTAAAACGTTGAACCCCAATAAATTAAATTTCGTTGAAAATTTTACGAGCATGATGGCCATCTTTACTAACTAGTATTGGCACATTTATGACACGCCATGACCCAATTCTCAACATCATGTCAATTAGAATCAGACACAGTTTATTGGGACAAGTGATCTTTTATAATTGTTCTGTAATAATTGTTCTGTAATTGCTTCAGTTATCGATTACGGGGTATTGATTTGTACTTACCAGTAGACTTGGGTGTTCAGACCAACCGACCATTAGAGTTGAGATTTATCTCTCCTGTTTTATAGAACGTAGAAAATCGTTTAAATTATTTGAACTGAAATTAGAGAATAAGTCTCACCGTAACAATCTATCAATCTCTTGACTGGTTTATCCCTGAAAAAAAAGGTCTACCGATCTTTCTGTTATGAAGGCTTCTGGCCAGTGACGTGATTCTATACGTCTGACCAGCATTAGGCCCAGACCTCATTTCATTTAATTTCTGACGAGACTTTCCCCAAACAGTGTAATAGAAACAAGATATTTATTGTATTCAAAATGTCTCCGGTTCGAATAAAATCAAAAATCAAAAATAGAAATTAGAAATTAATTTTCAAAATTAAAAATCAAAAATACAAATAGGAAATCGAAAAAACAAAACACAGTTCGTATTTGAGCTTCCGTAGCTAAGTCTCTAACTCAATACTTTCTATAATTTTCGAAATTAAAAACGCGAATTAGAGAATTAGAATTCGATATTGATCAATTTCAATCAACATTGATGTTATCTTGCCGTGAAACTATAGCATCCTAATATCCAATATTTAAGACGCAATTAACATTTTACAATTAGTACACGGGTCGTGTACCCTATGATTTCGGGCGGCATTTTGTAATGCTATCCTACAACATATCCTACAACACAATGTGGAAGTAATTAGTAAAGGCTGATTCACAAACGACAAAATAATAATTTTAAAAAAATACGTGTAGAATGCTGTAAGCAGGCGAAAACGACTGCCGTTCAATTTGAACTGTTCACGTATTTCATCGAACATAATTGATTATAAATTACAATATTTTTTTCTTCAAAAATTGAATATAAATCACTTTACATACATTCATATTACATTAATATGTGCTTTTAGAACCAATAAATAGAGTCATACGCCCTTTGATTAAGAAAACAAAAACAAAATACCAACGCTAGATAATCTGTTGGCATGGATTCAATCTGATTTAAACTGGGCTAATCAGGTTTCTCCGCTACCAGTAAAAGATGGGAGCGTCTTCTTACGCTCGAGTTGCCTAGATTAATGAAAATACAATTTATCGCAATATTTCTTTTAGAGATCCATCTTTCACAATATTATTGTAGATAACATGGTTATTCATATAGCTAAAAAATAACGCATCGAGTCTTTAAATAAAGGAACCATTGACAGTTGGAAGTCGTAGATTAATAGGCGGAAATACCTCTACTGGACATACTTCATACCATCGCATTGCATACCCAATCACTGAATATTCAAAATATCCATAATGCACCTAAATACAGACATTGGGCTATCTATATCAAGACATCTTACACGACCGGTCACTGTACACATTACAAGTCACTATGATATGAGGTTTAACGTCCTATTTTTTTGCAAATATTCTGACTATTATTGTTAGGATACGTAATTAATGTATGTCCGTCTTCATTTGCCCAGTCGGTGCAGAAAAGTAGGACGTTAAACACCATTTCATTTTGTATAAGTGTGGGCTATTGGCACACTATACGTGAAAGTTAATGGCAATCATTTACTTTAAGCTGTTTAATACGGTTTATACAATGGTTGTATATTTGTAGAAGTCTGGATAATACTGCCTATATAATTATCATACATTTGTAGAAGTCTGGATAATACTGTCTATATAAGTATTGTATATTTGTAGAAGACTGGAAAATACTGTCTATATAATTATTGTATATTTGTAGAAGACTGGATAATATGGTCTATATAATTATTGTATATTTGTAGAAGCCTGGATAATACTGTATATTATAATTATTGTATATTTGTAGACGACTGGATAATACTGTCAATATAATTATTATAATATAATATTATATTTGTAGAAGACTGGATATTATTATATATTTCAGGCATCAGCGGAAGATGAGGATATCTGGTACATATCACAATTAGTAACATGTCATTCAAGCCATCTACAAAAATGGACCGGTGCTTTTTATGTTTATAAAGGTAATCAGTAAGCACTGGGAGGGTCAAATATTGAGTTTACACGTACAGTACTTTAAAATACATCACTTATGGCACCATTTTAAAAATAAATATAAAAACATTATTTGTAGGGCTTATATTACATAACGTTACTTTGGATATACAAACCTTATTTATAGCCCTTAAAATACATAACGTTACTTTGGATATACAAACCTTATGTATAAGGCTCTAAAATACATAAAGTTATTTTGAATATACAAACCCTATTCATAGGGCTTAAAATACATAACGTTATTTTAAATGGCGTTATTTGGAAAATAAAAACTTTAATTACTCGACTAGATAGAAACTGGGCGACAAGAAGAATAATGCTACAAGCTATAAATGATCCCTAGTAGAAATCCCATATCTTGTGATCCGAAAACCGGAAATAGCGCCATTTTGAAATACACACTTGATTGATTTTAGGTTATTATTAATATTGAAGTGTATGTGTCCATCTAAATCATCACCTGTAAAAAGGAATGTCCATTGAGGCACCATTTTGAAAACACAAACTGTAATTATTTTATTGATTTTAGGTTTATTATTAATATTTGGTGTATACATGGCCTGGGAGACGAGAAGTGTGAAGATACCAGCTTTAAATGATTCCCAGTATATAGGAATGAACGTTTATAATGTTGTGATAATGAGTATTAGTGTCGTGGTATTATCTAATATACTAGCCATGGAACCTACTCTAGCATACGCTGTAGAGTCATCATTTATGTTTTTATCTACCACTGTTACCCTCTGTTTGCTTTTTGTTCCCAAGGTAAGTTTAACATATTTTGTGACTAAGTGAGTAAGAGGTCCCTGTGATGACCGTTTTTTCGGCGTGGCTCCCCCTTGTCAGTGCTGCAGGATTGAAGGCCTGGCAAGGGACAGGGTATATTCATTCGGATGGTACGTAAACCATGTACTCATTGACGTGTACCATTGACAGTTCGAATTCGATATAAGAGTCGGCCATAGCACACAGTATGGCGTATGCCCACCTTCATTATGCAGAACAGTAGGACGTTAAACCCCATTTCATTTCATTGTATATGACAATTCATACGAGTACCTACACAAATTTGGTCGAGGTGGTCACAGACACAGAAATTCAAACACTTTTTGAACATTAGGCTTTAAATTCAACAAAATCTTCAAGAATAATATTTCAACCAATAGTAACAAGAATCTCAAAAATATTATTAATATTCATATCTTTTTGAGTAAACCTTAAAAGACGCTTGCTTTGTGGTACGTTAGTCACAATCGGTGCCTTGTTAAATTTGAGCATCCGAAGCTGTGCCTCCCTGACGTGAAATTCTCCCGTACGCTTATCATTATCAGAGAAACACATTTAACAATCATGCTTATTATTCACGCTATTGGATCTTTAAGAACTCTTGGATATTTCTTTGTATTTAACGTTAACTTGAAAAATCACTTTAGATAGAGAAGATAATTTGTTTTAGCACCATTGTTTTTTGTTTTTCCTCCTGATATTTTTAAAACGATGGTTACCATATGAGATGACACGTTATGTTACACGTCTAAAACATGACAGCCATCAACGCCTAGATTCCACATAGAATCATATGTGTGATTTGTTTTTTCCGCTTTTCATATTTGGTTTAAACAGTATTTTTTCGAAAATATTGTACTATATAAAAGCTTAAAGAATAGGATACAAAAACAAGCCAAGTGGGCTTATATTAATTTTCTTCCTTCTGGGTAGGGTGTCTAATAATGTACAATTTCAAATATGATATAGACAGAGAATAATTACAATATTTTAGTTATGTTACATTTTGTTGGTGCATAAATAATGTCGAGCTGAAATGAAATGAAATGGGGTTTAACCTCCTTTTTGGTAGAGAATATTCCTGATGTTCCAGTCTGGTATCCGTTTGTCAGTGGTGCAAGACGGAGAGACAGCCAAGGAATAAAGTTTAGTGCTTCGGTTAGGACAGAAACCCGAAGACCACCTATAGTATTGCACATTGCATTCCACAGGGGCGTATTCAGAAATTCGAGCACGACTGGTCCAAGGTGCAGACAACTTCAAGTTTGGCGGGAGGTCTGGGGGATTACCGGAAAATTTTATAAAATCTGAAATCAATATTTCTGCTCATGTAGAGGATTAGAGTGGGCGACAATAATTCGCACGTTTGTTTGTTCACTTGAAAACAAAAGCCTTGGCGGTTATTTCCAAAAACTAGGACGTTGCCAAAAATTCCATTTGTTGTTTCATTAGCCTGGTGGTTGTAACAATGGAAGCCGCGATACCCCATTTCATTTCTTAATATTCCCACTAATAGGCCCACCTGGAAAAGTGTTCAGTCCCTCTGGCTTGCCCATAAAAAGTACTCTTAGCTGTTGGAATTCGAAAACAAATTATGGGGGAAGAACATGGCATGCCCGTTTTCATTGGCCCAGTTGGTACAGAAAGTTAGACTTTAAACTATACTTGAAATATATAGAATAGATTTGTTCGATGACCCCATCTTGATACGCCGTTTCTAATCTGCGTATGTCATTAAACGATTTAACTTATATTCGTCTCCGTGATAAAATAAAGCAGTTTGTATCTTGACAAGCCATGTAATAAGTTTAAGCAAAAACTAACCCAAAACTAATAACAAAAGATATCACTAGAGACGAATAATTCTACGCTATACTTTCAGTCTTCTTTAATAAATCACTTGTAAAGAGACAAGACAATTTTTCATGTTTCCTTTTTTTCTGTTTACACTTCATCGAGATTCGATTTGCTGTAACGTTTTTCCTCTTTATCATAGGAAGCCTGTCAAGCGTTCATTTCCTCTCAACACTTCCCGTCGAGGGTTTTCGCTTTAGCTTAAAATCGACCATTAGCTTTGTGTTTTCTTTCTTTCAGATATATGCCATCGTCACATCCGGCGGAAACCCAGTTATAGCGTCGTCAGGGATACACGTGGAAGCCAACACGAGGCGCTTTGTTATTGATGACCGGAAAGAGATATATTACAGAGCGGAAGTACAGAATCGAGTATATAAAAGAGAATTAGTTGAGGTAAACATTAATCAACAAGATTTATCCAGTTCTGACAGGTTATAAAAAAACCTCAGTAAAATTAACTCTTTGAAATATCTGTCAATTATAGAGACAACAGATTGAACTGATATTCATGTATGCCTACAGTTCACATAATATTGTGTGCGCTTTATAGAAAATCGAATTGATAGGGAAGCAGTCAGGTCAAGAACCCCCCCCCCCCCCATCCCCCGATCCTCAATTTAGTTTGACTCACTACGCTTATATATGTTTAAAAGGACATTGCTACATTTATGATGGATTAAAATCCTAACATTGTAGATACGATATACAACCTAATTATGTAAACTGTGCCACGATAGTCAGTAAGTTAGAGCATGGACTGCCGAGTTTGGACAGCATAAAAGCACATTGTCCTAAGCGAAAACGAATCTTTGGCAGTTGGATTAGTCTGGACAACAATGGTATTTATTTTGATACCAATCTGCCAGATAATCCTTAACAGTGCTGCCAGTCGTTTATATACACGGAGCCTCGGTAACTTCGACCTGCACCACTGACAAGTGGAAAGCAGACAGGAAAACGGGATGATGCCCTGCCCTATGCTCACCCCCCTGCCCCCAAAACACAAATTATAAAGCAAGTAAATCAGTTCCCTTTCTTCCTCTCCCCCTCCCACTCCTCTCCATCCCTCTTTAACTATATAAATATGTGCAGTTCTACTAGTTTTATCTATGAGAAATGTCTAAACATGATGTATTCATTAAAGCCTGTTTAACAAGGTTAATAATAAAAACAGCATGGGATTAGATATTTCATTGATACGGGTATTAGCCTTTTTAACCGGATTCTTACTGTGCATGTGAACGTTGTTTCTACAGCGTATAAAGTCGTGACATACAGCGTGGGCCTTAAAATGGAGTCGATATTATCACTGTCATAATTCACATGATCGCTGTTGATTCCTTTAGTCATTTTTCTAGGTTAATCCCAAGTTTTAATCCCAATAATTCCATATATCTGTTCTTGTTAGCACTTCATAGGCCGTTGAGTGAAAGATCAGGTTGGACAGCGACCCCACTCCTTGTCACGTATAAGCGGGGAATCGAGACCACACTATTCGACACAATGATAGACCTTATGATCCAACGGGCACGCGTTAATCAATCGCCCTCAGCTAAACCTGCCTTTATTATTAATAAGACATATATTCAAACGCCAAGCCCATAATCAACCCTCTAGGCCATCGGATGGTTGTGATTATGAATGGATTGAACCACGATCGCCATTGAATGATTCAGTTAAAATTGGATAATTGAAACTTTGTTTATTATCGTAACAAAGGTAGAAATGAAAACCGAGACTACGCTTTTCTACAAATATTCATAACTTTACTCGGAATAAAGTAATTTGACTGAAGTTTTCCATATATTCCTTTTTGATGGTCTATTGTAAAGTAGTATAGCGAGAACTCTCGGTTCTTTAACTAAATCTTACATAATGCATCATAAAGTTGACCGTTTATTATATCATGCAATTATAACAAATTGTCGTGGTGACAATTTACAGTTTTGGGTTGGAGGTTAATTTGACCGAGAAGCACAATGTCGGTGAACTATATTTATTGGTTCCGTTGGTTAAACCAACAGACCAGCATTAAGTGAAATCGGATGTGGTAGTTTCATTGATAATATCGATGATCATAGCCAAGCACCACCACAACAGTTTCTTAAAATTCCCTCTTTTATTTTTTTTATCTCTGCGAGCGCCATAGAACCATTTACTAAACCAACGAAACCAATGTCCTAATCAATAGCCAATAATAGGTATGTGTAAAATTCGTTCATTTGGAGATTGCCCCTGATAGTGGCTAGCGGCAATACAAAAGGACAATCAAAGAAGCTCCATTCCATCGTCTCAGAAATTGATAATACGAACGATAAGCCCTTGTTACTTGAGTTATCAATACCTCTTATCGCCGTTCTCTCTTGTACTTTCATTTTCTGATCTCCCCAAGACCTCGGTACCGAACTCGTCTTATCCACTAATCCGGATATTGCCTACTTTCGATTTATCCTAAATGAGTTTTCTTACTATATCATGGCTTGTCTTCTGCTGTGAGTTAATTAAATAATGGCGCTATATTTCAGGCGGAGCAGGAACTCAGTCGCCTCCGACGATTAATGGAATTACCCATTGAACCATTTTCACGTATGACGGATGAACTTTTGCATCTACTTCCGGAGTCAAAGGTCGATGGAACGCCAGCTATTCAGCGTAGAAGACAAGAAGAGAGACGAATGTATTTAAATGGGTAAATAATAAATATATTTGACGGTGCTAACATTTATCTAGTTGATACAAATTCATATGGGTAATACACCAATTCCAGAAATATAAAAATTCGATATAAAATTCTCAAATTGGTGTTAAAAGTTTTATTTAAAGTGAAAAAATAAATAAAAAAAGACATTTTCCTATAAGATATTTACACTCTTGTTAGGTACAGTTCGGGAGCCACTGTGACACAGTGAGTGAGGCGCTTGTTCGTCCTACTTCTTTTTTTGCACTAAGAAGGTCATACGTCATATCGTGCAGTGCTCTTAGGGAGATGTTGCCCTAACAGCGGCGCTGTTGTCTAGTCTTATATAAATTTTCAACTGTTTGGGGATCTTTAAGTTCCTACACATAGAATACACCAGACCCGAGCAACTTAGTCAGCAGACGCTAATTACACTGAGCCATTCTCGCTCCCGATACTTTTTACACCGATACTTTTAATTTGTATTTTTATTTATCTCCAGATGTAACTCAATATCGGATGACGGAGAAGTGTGCCAATCTCGCTCCCGATACCTTTTACACCGATACTTTTAATTTGTATTTTTATTTATCTCCAGATGTAACTCAATATCGGATGACGGAGAAGTGTGCTATGGTTCCGAGGAAACCGACGGATTTCCGGAAGTGAACGCCGGAAATAGGCTAAGCTCACCGCGGGTCTCACAAAAGAGACACAGCGCTCAAGAAAACAGTGGTGAATCAACTTTAAAGAAACTCTGTAGAATCAGCCGAAGCCTAAGCATCACACAGGCGTCGCCTTTAAATTACAGGCAGGGTAAAAATCTCGAAGTTGCTTCTCCCAGAACCCCTCGTGATCCATTGGACAGCGAATATGACAGTGCCATGGACGAGTTGTCCTTTAATGTGGCAATACGGAATGATGCCAACAAGAAAACGAAACGAAATAGTGAACAACCTAGCTCATCACCGAAAGCTAACAGATATTTTATTGGATTTGAAAATTTCGGACGTTTTAATAATATTACTAATAATCCCGATCAAAGAACGTGTGGTTTTAATGGATATGTCGGAAATAATAATTCGGATCTGGAATTAAATTTGATTCAGCCGGCTTGTACAGAAGAAACGTGTAATGGCGGACGATCGGGAAAAGACATCCATAGAATTGAGAATATTTTTTCGGATTCTAGTTTTTCTGTTCAGGGTGGAAAAAGAAAACTGCATTCGCCACCGCCCCATGTACGAATCAAACATGTGATCACCAAATGTGATATAAAAAATCTAGGTCTGCCATTAAGAAGGGTGAACCAATATGGCGACCAAGAGTGTAACGTTAACAAACCTCTAGACAATATTTGTCATCTTGATTTGCAATCTCTTACGCTAACTCACGAGCACTGTGATCAAATCACTCCGCCGCGAAACGCACATGTAAATAATGACATCATCAATTCCAATCTTTATAATCATCATAAACACTCATCGCCTATCAAAGAAGCACATGCACATCAGTCATTATCTGAACAAAGTTCATCCTCGTCGTATAGTAATGAAATATCGACGGAAACTATGTCGTCAACGTCGCCATCATCACCTAAGCATGACACCATAACTACTAAACCATTCGGCGCCAAAACTTCGTCTTTTAAAATGCTACCACAGCGCCATCTAGGAACTATTACAGAAAAGGACGGTAATCTGTGTAAAGGTGAAATATCGGAAAATGTTCTTGAGCCTGTTCACGATGATAATATGTGTACTGGTGCTGTGCCTAAAGACGTCCAGGCCGCTCAAAGGAAACATAGGACGCTTTGTCGGGTCGATTCAGCGCGAACAGTCGAACGACGAATGAAAATCCGCAAACTTCAGTCGGATTTGTTACGAATTCAACAAGAATTACAGGATTTAGATGAAATGGAGTTCGATGTTTCTGAGGTTTAGTGATTGGATTAAAATAGAGAAGGATTATATTTCACTCACAGTTGGGAAATATGAGCAAACATCCATCTTGGCATAATCGCGATCCCTAACATATCCATGTCGAACCACGGCTCGGTATCGACAAGCGATCTGTATTGGACGTCAGTACGCCCACATTATGTAGAGGTGTTTGGTCATCACAGTAAACGGTTTTTCCATCCATCGGTCCGGTCGCCCATACTAGTTTTGGTCGCAATTGAGTCCACATTTTTCGTTTGTTCATGAGGTGTCAAAAAATCCCGTACATGACGCTATTTCATTAATGTTTCTCAATGTCGTTACCAAAGACTTGACTAACTTAATTCACACCCCATAAGCTAAGATTGAATGCTGCTATTTCAGAAACCTGAAAGCTGTCGTATCTGCCATTTCCGTCGCTCGTTTACACATAGTGCCAATCTCAAGTGCAGTGTCAAAGATCAGACCTCCACGCTGTTTTATATCTGTACTGAGTCAAGAGTAGACATAATGCGTTACGAAACGCCAGTATGAAAAGTGACAAATTTATGTTGTCAACATAGCCAGACAGGGTATGTCAGTGCATCAATACTAATGTAATATGTACAAGCGAAATTATATCTCGCTTGAATGACAAGTCGTTTCTGAAATTAATGATGTTTTATATAGCCTAAATTTCAGTAGAATAAGAACTGGATATACAAGCCACGTTGTGCTACGTACGTAGTCATTCAAGTAATTCGTATAAGTCAGTTTACCCCACCTCTTCCCCCAACTGTATAGTGAAATATAATCACGTTGATAATGATATATATTTATGCAGTAGTTGAAAGCCGAATAGATTTTATTAATCTAATAAAAAATGTTATTTTTACACGTTCATCTATTCTTTTTTTATTTCTTTTTATAAAGCGCGGGGGGGGGGGCTGACCTGACAAGGAAGGCGTGACTTGTCTGCTCCTTTGGGTGGCACAGAAAACCAAGGTCCATTTAGAAATATATTTTCAATTTAGTGCCAATTAACTCTGAATTAAGCTATTACTCCCTGGTTGATTCAGTCAGTTACACGGCACCCAAATGCGTCCTTGAAAGATACGCCTCTTTAACTCAACTTCCAAGACCTCTAATAGCTACTGAAAATGAAGTCAAAGTCAAAAGAAATTAAAGGAAACGTGTTTAACGTCCCAAGGTTCTGCATAAGGGGTTAAAAGGGCCAAACTTCTAACTCAATATTTTCGATAAAATTGGAAATTAAAAACACGAATTAAAACTTAATATTGGCAAATTTCAATCAATATTGGTGCTGTTATCTTGCCATGAAAATATGGAATCATAATATTCATTATTTTAAAAATAATGAACCTGTTAAAATCAGTACACGAGTCATCTATTCTACACCGAACAATATTGGTTAAAATTTACAATAAAAAATTTATAAACTGATTACAAACCACTTTATATTCATATATATGTGCCTTTAGACTTAGTTTCGTCTATTTTAAGGTTTCAAAAGTAGAGCCATGCCCGTATGCCCTTTAACGCCCTACAGACATAGGCGTACGAGCCAGGGGGACAGGGGGCAGCTTCCCCCCTAACTTTCGGGCAAGCTGACTTTTCGGGCAGAAGGGTAAAGGGAAAAAAAATTTTTTATTTTATCTACTTGGCAAAATAAAGTGCCCGAAATCTAATAAAACACTAATTTTACGGGCTGGAATAGCAGTAAAACGCGTTTGCGGCCGTCAAATATTCTAAAATTTTCTTCGGGGGTTCATACAAGGTCAGTTCTGCTTCTTCACCTCTCGAAAAAAACCGGCGCCGCTGTCTGTAAACCTGAAATTTTAACGGGCATTTCTAATTTTTCTTCCCTAACTGTCATTGAGCCCTAATAAAACACTAATTTTACTTTTCTTTTAATTGAATACCACAAATTTGTACTGAGTTGACTATGGATTAAAACAATTTGTCTGGAACCACTCTACTTTGTGCGACATTTTTCGAGCATCGATTATTATTTGTGAATGCAGCTGCAACGGTCTGATTGGATGGTTGGAATTCAGATTGGGATTTCGGTTACAAAACCATTAGATACTGAGGCCCCCCATACCCCGCGACGATTGATTGGTTGTTTAGAATTCGGGTCAGCCAGGTAGGCTATATTGGACCAAATTGAAGTTGCTGTATTCACAGACTGGAATAGCAGGAAAACGCGTATGCGGCTGTTAAATTTTCAAAATTTACTCCAAACGGTCCCGTCTCCGTGGACTGAAAACGATTGATCTTTTGTTTGGAATTCGAGTCAGCCATCTTAATTAGGCTATATTAGACCACTTTGAAGTTGCTTTGTTCGCGGGCTGAAATAGCAGGAAACTATGTTTGCAGCCATCAAATATTCAAAAATTTTCTTGGGGGGGGGGGGAGGGGGGGAGCGGGGGGTACAATACAAGGGGAGCTCTGCTTCTTCGCCTCTCGAGGAAAATCAGCGCCGCTGTCTGTACACCCGAAATTTTTTCGGGCATTTCGGGTTCTGCCCCCTAACTGTCATCGAGCCCGTACGCCTATGCCTACAGATCTGCACGAACTGGTTTATTAATTTTGATGTAGATCGTAATACTAGTAGAAATGAAAGTGACCTGTGCGTCGTGAATCCAATGGAGCACAGACACCCATTATGTTTATCGTCAGTGTTTTGGACTGGATGGAACATGCTCGGGTCGCTTTGTATGGCGGGATTTAAATCACAAACGTCAATTACGCGCCAATTACCCTTTTTTTCTCTTTGTGAGAGGCTGGAAAACGTCAAGGCGGTGCAGGGCCGAGGTCCAGTCAATGAGCAATGTCTAGTTGTTCGGATGGGACGAAAACTGAGATCTTGCATACACGTTGGTGTGCATGTTAAAGAACCCTTGACAGTTGAATTCGAAATAAGAGTAGAACGTTATCGCGGTTGGTGCAGCAAAGAAGGACCTTATGACCCATTTCATTTTATTTCAGCTATTGTATCAGTGTAATGTGCGACTTACTACTGACTACAACATTTTATTTTCCTTAAGAAAGTTAACGATTTATTCTGCGGAGTGATGTCTATGACAAAACAGTTAACGACTGGTTCAACGGAGTGATATCTATGGCGAAACAAGAAATTAATCTGTATTTTTTTCTGTAGTTATCGGTGCCCCTAGATTAAATCTAAATACATTCTTGTGAAAAAAAAATTCTTAAATCATAAATTGATGATTTTAATTGGTTGCCATTGTAACTAAATGTTACAAATCTGACGAACACGTCCAGTTCCTGTGAGAGTTTCCAATCCAATTCCTTGCAATGTCGGTAATTGGAACTTCGTTGCTGATCAATCAGTTTTTTACAGAGAAGACGCAAATGCCGTGAACGTGTTCGGTCATAGAAAATGTTTTAATTGGATCTCGCACCTTTCAGAGTCGCTAAACATGAAAACAGGCACCGCTTTTCATCATTTCCGCTCTAACTCTTCAATGTCGCGAGTCAGATAAACTCTATTTACATTCTGTCTGTCTTAAAGAACAAAAATTACTGGCCATCCCTCGTCTGGGATTATTACTCCTTCTTTCCTTTTTTTGAATAATGAGGAGAAGTCCGCTAGATAATTATAAAGATTAGAAACGTTTCTAATGATGACAAACAATGAAAGCAAAATCCTTGAACAGACATACATACACACATGTGGAATAATAAAATTTAATCGATTTTCAGGACATTGCACCCTACCTACCCTGTCTGTTCCCTATGGCCGCACTTTTACGTCACATGATAGTCAATATCAAAGTACATTCGTAGTCATAGTACTCTAAAGCCAGGCACACACTTCAATCTCATTAGTTTAATTGCTAGTAAAAATGTCTGTATGCAAGTCACCGCGACGGCAACGAATGTCGAATACTGTTGATGGCGACGAGTTCCCAAATATCGAACAGAGAATATTTCTCGTTGCCCGGAAATCGTACGCAAATCAACAGGAAGCGCTCTTTCGTTGAGCATATGGTTTTGTTTATACTATCGAATTATCGCATGCTAAAACATCATGTGATCAGTTAACACGGGGAATCCCTTCACGTTATTTCCATGTATGGGCGCCGCCAATATGACTTATCATGAGAGAGAGAGAGAGAGAGAGAAATGGGGTTTAACGTCCACTCGACACAAACTAGGTCATTTCGGGACTAACATATGGTTTAATTTTATTTTAATAATTCGCGTATGCGTAGGGGTCTTTAGCAGTGGGAGGAAACCGGAGGGCCCGTAGAAAACCCACGAGGTTGGACAGGCGACCCTACTCCTTGTCATGTACAACCGGGGAATCGAAACCACGCCAGTTGACTCAATGACAGACTGTATGGTACAGCGCACACGTGCTAATCATTCAGCCACCCAACCCCCCTCTAATCATGTGGTCAGGGGTGGGAAACTCTTAACCGTCCAAAACAAATGGCCTGTACCCCACCAATTATTGCTCGGTGCTGCAAAAAGCGTCACGAACTGGAAACAGACAACTCTTATATCGCGTGTCCGCCGGGCTTTAAAATATGATTCCCAAAAGGTTAACTAGCCCACTCGATTTTTGAATGTTTCTCTCGATACATTAATGTTATTTTTCTTTAATCATATTCTTTCCAAGTTCTATTCTTCAGATGCCTTTATTCGCGTTCGTTTAAAAGCGTTTTGCGCCCTCCCCACGCACTTTAGATAAGGTCAGGCGACGACTCGAGGTTTTCATTATTTCTCGATATAGTAATACAAACATGGAGATGTCGTTGAATTCTATTCTTTGAAAGTCTATTTGCATTATTTTGAGATATGGGCCGGCAAAATATTATGGCCGTAACGATGTTTACAAATTTTCAAAAAAGGTGATTGCTTTTTTTTCAATCGACAAATCTTTTATATATAAGGACGTTTATCTTAAATAAGAATCAATATCTTATAACCCTTTATTGTGATGGCAGTGGAATAACATAGGCGTACAAGATTATATTGTGCTTGCGAAGACTTTACAAATAGTACCCGAAATTATAAAATTATTAGATCAAGTGGACTGAAGGACAGAAAAGTCAATTTCTGGTTTGACTGTGTACACCAGTTACAACATCAACAATGCCAAACACTTTTATAACTAGCCATAAAACTATACAGTTGGTGCCACGTTGCCCAGTTGACCGGAGTTAACATACAGTAATACGACATGTTCCTATAACTCGCATTATATCACTATGTAGTTTTCATAGCGTAACCCAGTTAGGTGGTGATGAAGTAGGCCTATCGTAATACGTCATTTCTTTCTGCGATTCGGTGGCCTAAGGCTTCTTTCCAATTTAAATACGATCGACATTAAACTTGGCGAAACTGCGCATTCATTGTCGCATGGAGTTCTGATATGACGGCACTATCCCAAGATGGCGGTTATGACGCCATGCCCCTTTTCTGGTCCATATAGCACTAGCTTACTGGAAATGAAAAATGAAAAAAATAAATTCAAATTTCTAATCGTTCTCACAGTTTTCATGCAATCTGGTTAAAACACAGATCCTATTTCGTTTCGTTTTTATAGTTCAAAATTTCGTTTTACTTGTCTTTACTACACTTGGATCTGGAAGAGTTGTTATTTAACTCGTGTTCTGAATGGTGTCAGGGATAAGCCAATGAAACGGTCTGTTACGGCGAGCTTAAGGCGTATTTTTCACGGAACCGTGGGTAATCCACTAGGAACATCAATGCTGATTGGTTAATCAAATGTCTGACGCCATAGGGTCATAAGTCGGTCTTTTGACCCCTGACGTGACCTATCGCTATAACTTGT